GGGCGGGCGGGGCGCGCGCTCACCTGGCTGAAGTCGTCCTTAGCCCTCGCCTCCAGCCCGGCCAGGGACAGGAGCAGCGGGAAGACGGCGGCCAGCGCCCGCGCCCTCGCGCCTTCGCAGGAGCGCGGCATGCCGGCGTGCCGGTTCCGCGCGCCGACCTCACCTTCGCGCTGCAGAGGCGACGGTCTGGGGCCGGTCAGCTGACCTGGCTCTTTAAGCAGCTCAGAAGCGGCCTCCAAACCGGCCCCACGCCGGACAGCCCCCGGCCGCGCTTCCGCAACTCTGATTGGTCCTTCTGCACGCAGCCCTCCCCGCCCACCCGCGGCGGCTCGGGGCCTGCCCTTGCGATTGGGTCTCTGTGAAGCTCCGGAGCGCGTGACCCGGATGGCAAAATTCTATTGGCGAGAGGTTAGTGACCTTTCGATTGGTCGCGACTTCTGCGGCGCGTCACGGGGCAGGGCCGATTTTAAAGAGGCCGGCGCGCGGTGCGGCGGGGAGAGGAATACAGGCTTGTCAAGGCGATAGAACGCGCAGACTTATTGAGAATCGGGCGTGGTGTGCAGGCCCGTAGTCTCAGCACTCGGGAGGCTGACGCAGGACGATCGTTGCGAGTTCGAGACCAGCCTGGGCCACAAAGTGAGCTCAAGGCCAGCCTGAACTGCATAGCGAGACAGTCTCAAAAAAAGAAACAAAACCCACAGGCCTATTGAGAAAACAAAAATAGCAATCTTTAATTTTTATTAAAATGACTATGACTGTGGGATCTGTACGGCAGAACGTGTCTGGGCGTCTGCACAGCGGGGGCGCGGTCCTGGGTCGGGTCGGCGCGGGTCTCGGCTCACTTCTTCCTCTTCTTGTCGGCCGCGGGCGCCTGGTTCTTCTTGCCCAGAATCTTCAGCAGGTTCTTGGACATGTAGTAGGGCCGGTCCCGCGAGCCGTCGTTCCGCTCCAGGTCTTCCACTGAGCCGCGGAGAGCCGGGTTAGCGGCCGGGCCGCCGGAGGACGGCGGGAGGGGCCGGCGAGGCCGGGGTGCTGGGCTCGCCCCGCGCCCGAGCCGCCCGAACCGAGCCGCGAGGCCGTGGAACTCCGCTCTCCCGCCCTGTGCCCCAGCCCTGGCCGGGGCGCCGCGAGCCCGCCCTCCCTGGGAGCACCGGGGCGGCTCCGCGAGCGCGGGGTGCGGGGTGCGGGGTGCAGGTGGGGTGCGCGGGCCACTCACGGAAACACAGGAAGAGCGTGTCCACGCACATGCCGAACACGCTGAAGAAGCCGCTGGCGATGACGTAGGCCCCCACGATGCTCGTCTGCGAGACAGAGGCGCTGGGGCCGCGGGGCTCCCGGGGGAGGCGGTGGGGACGGGGCTGGGGCCGGGGCGGGGCGGGGGACACTCACCATGATGGGAAGCCAGTAATAGTTGAGTTCCGGGTTCTCAAAGTCCTTACCCAGCCCCTTGATGCGACCGGAGAAGAAAAAGAAGGCCAGGACCCCTGCGGGAGAGCTGGCGGTCAGCGCCGCAGCAGCCCTCCCCTCCGCCCCGGAGGCCGTCTCGCCCCTTACCCACGCCTCCGACCACCAGCAGCTTCCCGAAGAACAGCAGCAGGTCTGTGACTTTATCCAGGACCACCACCCTGTTCGGAAGTTGGGATAGGCTCCGGGTTAGATGCGTGGAAGCGCAGGAAGCAGAACTGGCTCCCTAATTTGCAGGGACAGCGGGGTGGGCGCGGCAGGTCCGTTATCCCAGCACTTAGGGAGACTGAGGCAGGAGGATCACACCTGCGGTCCTTGGTAATTTAGCGACAAGTGAGACCCTGTGTCAGATTTTAAATGGGCTGGGATGTTGGTCAGTGCAAAGGCCCTGGGTTTGATCCCCAGTAGCAACAAAAAAATACAAACACAAAATTGGCAGGGACAGGTTTGGTTTTTGTTTGTTTGTTTTTTTCGTTTTTTTTTCCGGTATCGGGAATCGAACTCACGACCTCGCGCTTGCCAGGCAGGCGCTGTGCCGCTGAGCTAAATCCCCACCCCCCATGGACAGGTTTGAAGTGCAGATTATTCATGTCTCAGTACAGTGACAGCAGCGCACTAGGCTCTGGACAAGGAAATGGGAGGGGGCTCCTCGGCCAGGAGGCGTGGACAGTCTCACCTGAGCACGTTCCGCATGAGCAGCATGAAGGCATTTTTGGCTGAGACACAGAAATTCTTCCCGTAGATGGCGATCTGGGGGCAAAGCCAGAGTCACCGCGCTGAGCAGACCTGGGGGCCTGGGCCGCGTGCAGAGCGGAGGCGCGGGCTCCCACGCAGCCGCTTACCATGATGTACGCGTTGCGGTTCAGGAACTTGATGAACTTCTCCAGGCACCAGAGGCAGCACTTGAAGCAGCACATAATGCAGCGGGCGAAGGCATTCTGGGCCCCTGGGACACGGGAAGCCCGGTGGGTCGCGGGCCTCTGTCTCCCCTCAAGGGTCCAGCAGTGCAGCCCGGCCTCCCCGGACTCCCGCCCCCTCACCTCTCAGCTTGTGGTCGATATATTCCAGGATCATCCGGGCTATCTGCACGAGGCTCAGGATGAGAGCCCCAAATGCCAGGGAGCCGGTGTGGTAACTGCAGGGGGCGTTAGGGCAGGTGATGAGGCCCCGAGGCCCGGAGTCCCCCACACAGTCCCAGGCCCTGCCCCCGGCTTACCGAAGTGTACGGATGAAGGCCGCGCTGAGTGGGAAGGTTGGGATGTCCCGGGGCTTGTGGAAAGCCCAGTAGAAAGAGGCAAAGGCTCCGGCCAGCACACACTGGCCCAGGGCCAGCACCCAGTTAACAGTCCAGAAGAGCCCCAGGACCCCGTAGATCTGCAGGTTGAAGAGGGTCCTCTGCGCTAGGCCTGTGGAGGAGTAGCCCTGGAAGACGCACATCAGCCCTGGGCAGGAGGAGTTCTTGGGCTGGGCCTGGGGACAGCAAAGAGGGCACGGGAGGCTCAGGCCCGGCTTCCCACCTCCACGCAGATCTTGGACCTCCATCCGGTGCCAGCGCTCTCCTCACGGGGAGCCACTACCTCCCAGGGGTCTGCTCTCTAGGCTCGAGCCCTGGGCGGTCTCTTGTGGGAGCACAGGCAGCGTCCTTGTATCCAGACTGCACAAGAGATCCCAGGCTGCCTGGCAGCCTGATCATGTATGTCCAGGTCGTGTGGTCCCCGAGGGCAGCCTCTGCCACTTCAATCAAAATGCTTTGCAAACCCTGTGTGGTGGTGGTGCGTGTCTGTAATCCCAGCACTTGGGAGGCAGAGGCAGGAAGATTGCTGAGAGGTGGAGGTCAGCCTGGGCTATATAGTGAGTTCAAGGCCAGCCTGAACTATACAGTGGGATCCTGTCTCAAAAAGAAAACAGGGCTGAAGCCGGGCGTGGTGGTACATGCCTGTAATCCCAGCACTAGGGAGGCTGAAGCAGGAGGACGATTGCAAGTTTGAGGCCAGCCTGGGCTACAA